ATGTATAGATTTCACCATAAATGTTTTTATAATAAAAATTATAACAAAGCTAGAAGAACTTACGAGGAAGCAATTTCTCAACAGGATGGTTTTGACTTTTCAGCGCCATTGCGGGGCGGCAAGCAAACAAATTGTTTCTTTATTGTCTGCTTATAATGTTGCCCGGAGAGAATATTGGCCGATATGATAAGCGACTAAAACCGGAGATCGATGGGAGGATCGGACTTGAGAGATAGCTACTTAGATTGTTATCGTATAGGAGTCGAAAGGGGCAAAGGTACCTATCTGCCTATACTATCATCTGTTGAATCTTGCCATAAGAAATTTGTGGCAAGTTATGAAAAAAACTCCACTGCAATTTGAATTCCAAATAAACAGCTACCGAATCCTGGTCAGTTCCATAATAATACTCATTGCAACGTCTGCGATCTCACATAATGGGCAATAGAGGAGTTCAGCCTAATAATGGTTCATTAGAGCAAAGTTTAACAATGAAAAACTTGGACAATCATTTCATACTTTTCCTCGTCTTCGCAAGTACGCCAAGACGGTCTTGGTAACTGCCCTACATTGCCAAACAGATAGGGTACCATACCGCGGTCATGTAGCAAATGCAACGTTCCTCGAGGTTGAAATGCTAAAAACGGTTGTTTCACGTGTTGTAGTGTAATGAAAAGTATTACTTATGTTTGAAAGTATTACGTTATTGCACGCAGTAAATGCGTAGAACTCAAGGGGCGATCTTGTACGATGATGCACATACACATCATTATGCTTTTTTTAAAAATTAAAGAAAAATTCTTGTTTTTTTTTTTAATATTTTCCCCGTTAATCGCACTTATTTTCCAGTTAATTTTTTTTTTTTTTTAATAAAAATTTATGCTTTTAAGGGTTAATTATATAGGCAACAATTGCTTCTTAAATTGAAGCTAATTATGTGTTTATGAGCGTATGTATCTATTTGACAGATGAACTTACGTCAGAAATGGAGATTAAATAATAGTTGCCATTAAAGATCAAGCATAAAATTCGAGAATGAGAGAAAAATAGATTCAGTCAGAGAGATGAGTAATTTCTAGAAATCGTGCTTGAATTCATTTGGTAGGAACAACAGCACGATTGACAAGTTTACGAAAAGATCAGCGTTGGAGCATAAGTACGCTATGCAACATTACTTAGCCTTAAGTTTGCCGCTGCAGAGTAATTAGAAATCAACGTACCTCGTACATCTGTTGAACAATAACAATTCCAGAAAATAGCGCGCTTAGTAGCATAGCATACATCCTACGAGCTAGTAATAATTTAATGGAAAGATCGCTACACTTTTCAATTAGCAGATCTATCATAATTGTAAGCACACGCGAAAATCGATATAACAGTTTTACGAGTTTTGCTTAAAGATCTTAATAATGATGGATTTAAGAGTTTAAGTTGAACGATAACTCTGGTTAAGTAAGATCCAAGATCAATGGGCAATAAATAATTTTTTGTAAGCACATACTACTATGGTAGATGGGAAATAAATTCGTGTCGACTAAGAGTTGTCGGGTTGTCATAGATTAATTGAATTTTACAATTAATTCAAAATACACCGCACACGCAAATATATGCGAATAAATAAATTTGAAATAATTTAATTAAAAATTTTACCCACCACCAGGCCATAAGGTAAAGTTAATAATAAATAATAGTGAAATTATCCGGTTAAAACTGTTTTACAGACAATGCACTCATTGTATGACAAACTTGAATCTATGTAGTAATATATAGAAAGCAAGCAGCTCTGGCATCAGGTATACACAGTCCGATAATAATAACAATTATTATTATGCTGACGATCATAATGAAATAATAATAAAAAGTGAAAAGTTTAACAGACTGTGGCCGTGCATGTGAAATAAAATGCAATTTATGATATAAATGAATTGTGTTATTAAACACAGGCAACAACAGCCACTGTAGCAGCAACAATAACAGCAGCAGCAACAACAACAAACAGGTAAATAGATAACAACAATAATGTTTATGGGGTGGCAAGTTGCCGTCGTGTACTCCGCAATTGTAAACAAACAGAACAAATACCGTTGAAAAAGTAAAGAAAAAAAGAAATTTATAAACAATGTGGAAAACTGACGGAAACAGCGAAAAAGAAATAACACAACTAAATAAATAAATAAATAAAAAAAAAAAAAGAGAAAAACTGCCAATGGCAACAAAGCCGCAATTGCTCAACTAAAAGTTAATTATAATGCGAAATAAAATATAAAAGGTGTAAATTTCTATTACGAAAGTTAACGCCAAAGCTTTACAACAGCTTGCGATGTATGCCAAAAAAATGAGAAGTCACTTAGTTAATTGAAAAATGAAAAAATTTTAGGAAAGAAAGAAAAAAAAAAAAAAGAAGAAAACAAACAAAACCAAAAACGAAAATGAAAGAAAGAAGGAAAGAAAGAAAAGAAAAGGAAAGAAAAGAAAAAAAAAACAGTATACATGCGTTTTGCATTATGTTTGCGTTTATTTGCATTAAAACCGTAGAAGAATTCTTTGAAATTCATTTGCAATTGATTACTGAAATCGCGCAGCATAGTTTTCAACACTTAACGGTTACATATGTATACGTATACGTATAAACGAGAACGTGCATCGGCGCAGGCCTTAATGATGACCATATTGTGCCAAAACAATAGACCTATAAATCTTTTCATGCAGCATAAAACCGATTTCCAAAGACGCGTATGTGCTTTGTGCCGAAATATAAGTTCGCGTTCCATACTTTGCTGCATTGTGTGCTCAGTTCTCAGTTCTCAGCTTCTACTCTATTACAGCGAGCGACGGCCTTCCGACACAACTGCCATCGTTAACATTCCTATTCAATATTGTGTATTGTACAAAAGTATATAATCACGGGGCAGGAATGTGGAGAGTGGTGCTTTTGACTAAACTAAAACCTTTGAATTCGATTTCTTCTCATTAAAGGAATGTGTGTGTGTGTATGTATGTGTATATGTGCGTGCGTGTGTGTGTGTGTGAGTGTGTGTGTATGTGCATGCATAATGCACTGCGTTCAATAAAGCCATTGCAAATTCTTGATTTTGGGAAACAACAAGAAGATGCGAAAAAAAAAAGAAGAAAACAAAATTCTTAAGCGAAACGATTTTCTGCATTACAAAAATATGCAAAATTCATGTTCGTTTTATGTAACGTCTATAAATCGCATTTCATGTACATATACACGTACACGTACATATAAAATTTCTATTGTATTTGAGGATTGTTTTCTGATTTTATTTTCGTAACAAATTTAAAAATTTTTATGTTTTATTAAATTTCAAGATTTACCTCATGCGTCTTTTAACGATCGCTATATCATCACGCGCTAGCATCATTTGCTATTTTGTGCGTTACACGAACTATATGCAAACGCAACATTTCGAATACATACAATATACACAACACATATACACTGTCTAGAGAGAGAGAGCGAGAGAGAGAGAGATAGAGAGAGAGAGAGAGAGAGAGAGATAGAGAGAGCCAATACGCAATGCGGCATTTGCAGCATAAAATTTGAGCAAAAATCTCTCATATGCAAATGATTTATGAATTTGAAGTAGGACAAGAACTTATATTAGATCTTTTAAAGCAATAAGGTAAACTTGTTTGTTTGTTTGTTTGTTACGTTATTACAATAAAACATACACAAAAAAAAAAAAAAAAAAAACTTATAAGTAAGAGTACGTGAAAAAGCACAGTAAAGCTATAGTAAAATATATGGAAAAAAACTATAAATAAATTTTAAGAAAGCTTAAGATTCTCACTCATTGCGTGATGAAAGGGTAATTATCATCGATTTCGCTATGTTCACTGTTGAAGGACATAAGTTCTTGGCTAAAATTCTTTGATGCATGGAAAACCTGATCTATTACCTATGGTAGGTGAAAAAAGCAAAAACAAATTTGGATTATAGCCAAGTCATAGTTCTTTTTACGTAACCAACACGTGAAGCGATTTGGTCAATTTTACACTGAAGAATTATACGTTTGTCATGAATGCATGGATTAAGATCGAAAACACGTATAGTCTCTTATAGTCATTTACAAAACATAAATAATAGTTTGGGGGAAAGTGTTGAGAGTTTTTTAACATTACATTCCGATAAACTCCAGAAAAACTTCTCCACTTTATGTGTTCGCCAGTCCGTCTGATTTTTTCCCTGTAAGCAGGCGTTTGATTTGTAAGCCGCAATTTTGAAGACATTTTGACAAAACTTTGTATATTGACGCCTTTTAGACCAAGGACGAAGTCTATTGAAAATCGATTGGGTCGAAAGGGTTTTGCGACCACTCGCGTGACCAAACCAAAGATTATACGTTATTTTCATATAAGCCCTCATCACCTCAACAACAGATGTGATCAAGTTTAGCGAACTGAAGTTATTATCCCTCAAAATCTTCAACTATTTTCGTCATAAAAAACTGCAAATAAGACTTTGTCGCTATATAAGGATTTACTTTTTTATGAGAGTCCCCATATAAGAATCTAGTTTTTTGAGTCTGCCATGCAGAAGGAGGGAGCCTCACGCAACGCAAACCCATATTTGGCGACAAAGTCTAACTTGTAGCTTTTCGTGACAACAACAATTGACAAATAACGAAATTATTAAAGTGAATATTAAATTTTCTAAATTTTGACTATATTAGTCGGGGTTTTGGGCTTCTTCGAATATAAGGGTTTGTTGAAAAAAAGTCTAACAATTCTAAACAATAATCACATTAGGTTAGATGTTCGTTTAATCGCCGGCCTTACCCGACTATAATGCTCTTCATTGTTTTGATGGAAGGAAAATTAGGCAATTAGGCCGAAAATCACTGAAATATTTTTATTGTGAACGTATTGTTGGTCCGGTTATCGTTACTACTAAAGCGTTTATATTAAGTTCGAATCTGCGGTTTATATCTTTGGCACCTTATGTCTAATGTACATCATTAACTTATTTGTTTATGATTAATGCTGACATACAAGTTATCTACGCTCATCAGCATGTTACTCTTACTGCCCTTGGTTTGTTTGTGAAGTTCATCAAAAAGCAATAATGAAAATTCACTCTTTATATAGATATAACAAGAAATGCCATGGATTGTAATCACTTCCTCATTACGTGTTTGCCATGCTAATAAATACGGTTGGGTCAGGGTCTTACTTGATGTCCGCGTATAGGTTGCCTTTGCCTGCGTTTGTCGTCTTATGAGATTTATATTTCCATTTTGTGCCTATAGATCAAACTTAAAGAAGCTTTTCTAAGATAATCTCAAGATAATAACTACCGGCAATTTCAGTTTATCTTGGGGTTTGTTAGGCCGCTTTAAAATATTGCATATAATCTTTCATTTTATTTGCATCAAGTGTTGGACGTCAAAGGCAAACGTAAATTTTCGCCTAAACTTTTTTTATTGGGGAGAAAGGGAGTAATTAAATACAATCAAACACCTGGGCAGGCAGTAAAGGGTTTTAAATGTCCATTCAATTCTCCGCTCGATGTGTTTTACATAGTGTTTGTGTGTATATATTACTTACGTGTTAGTTTAATTAAGCGTTTTTGAGTAATTATTATGTAATTATTATTGATGATGATAAACATCGGCTGCGTGATGTGAATCTTGATTTAAGATTTTTTTTACATAATTACACATACACGTGTGCGTACATACCTGCAATTAAAAGGAGATAAAATTTATTAAAGATTTTTTCTTTCAAGCGATTATATGAAAATTAAATTTATTCTCTTATTGCAAAAAAAAAAAAAAAAAGCGCAGCACTGTTGCGGATTACCGATAAACTGATAACTTTATTATGGGCTAAACAATCAAGGTGGACTTACACATTTTTGTATACATATTTAGCAAGCGCTGTGGCTGCGGTAGGCGTTTTATGGTTTGTAAACAATACAATTGTTGTTAAAAAGAAAAAAAATAAATAAATAAAATTTATGAACTTTTAATAAAATTGTTGGAAAAACTGAAAACACAAAAAATAAAAAAAATAAAAGAAAAATACGTCAACATAAACAAAAGTACACACGTACCCACAGTGCAAAAATGGTTAAAGAAACAAAACACAATTAAATGAACACTTGGCTTGAAATTGTATAACCGGCGGCAAATAAAATTCTATAAAAAGGAGAATCCAGCCTGAACGAGAGCTGCCTGGTTGGTTGGTTGGTTGGTTTATTGGCGGCTATGATAGTGGAAATTGAGCGAACGAATAAACGAACGGAACTTGTAATAATAACAACAATCATTTGAAATAAATAAAAGATTGCCGTAGAACATGCGATAAAGTATTTATATCTGCACAAACTATTAAAGCATACACATTTTTCTATACTAATATATATGTATGTATATAAATGCAAGCCGACATACATACATACATACAGAATATTAAATGTGAAGTGATAAAAGATCAAACAAGATCAAGAATAAACAATTCATTTGGACGTAAGCAAAAAAAAAAAAAAAAAAACAAAAAAAAAAAAGAAAAATAAAATTAACAATAAGGAAAACTAACATTAAATGATATAAATTAAAAATAAAAATAAAAACTGTAATCGTTATCGATATCTGACAATAGTACAACTATTTAGAAAATTCAAATACACTTGAAAAAATCAAAAAGCATTTATGTACAATTGTGCTTTCAATAGGTAGGATCCTCTTTATAGAAAATTCAAAGATTTTGTGCAAAGTTCTTAACTGTTGTTCAAAAAATAAGAAAAAAAAAATATATATATATATATATATATTTTCTTCAAACCTCCTTCACCGTTACCTCCATGTACCAATTACGAATGGATTCGATGTCTGAAATTAGGTTGGAAAGTGATTAAATCAATTCTAGCTTTCAATCTCTAATTTTGACATTATCTTGGAATTCAAGGTCCGAGAAAATAATACCCAATTTGCCTCGTCTCGAAAAACTTATCCCGATCCAGAAAAATTAATTAATCAAGAAAAGAAAAAAAAAGAAAAAAAAGAAAAACAATTGATTGACTTGATAAACATAATTTGAGTAAATCAATAAATTAGTGTTAAAACACGTCTTCATTACCGAATTTTCGTTCAAGTGTATTTATGCGGGCAACAAAAAACGAAAAAAAAAAGAAAAAAATTGAATAAATAAATAATAGGAAAACAAAAAAAGAAAAAGAGCAAAATCTACTTAAGAAAAATGCCGCCTTATTTAGACTTATAAAATGTCTATTCAATCGATATCAGTTGAAATTATAGAGAGCATACAATCAATCAGTTAGACCGCTGACGAAGAAAAACAGCTCTGAATATAAACCATAACAAATTTCATACCAGCCAGCTAAACACACAATTCTGATGTTAAGCTCTGGACTTGAATCGAGGCAATTAAACAACAAAACACCCGCTTCTACGTGTGTGCTACGCAGATATGAGATAAATTGCTTTATTATTACATGGTGCTGTAAAATGAATTACAACACAGCCCATAAGTATAACAAGGCAAGTTTATGACTTAAGTCTCACAACAAACAACTAACAAGCATACGATTCAGTCGTCAGTGCTTGTGTCTCATTTTATTTACTTGGGAAGTAACGAAAAAAATAAATTTTTGTTTCACATAAATAAAGACTCGGGCGAATCTTGCCCACACCACACTAATCCATCTAATTAAGGTTTATATTAGTTTGGGGAAAAAAAAATCCATTATTTTTATATGAACTTCAGGACTTTATTTAACATGCTTCGGATTGTCCGATTTGGGTCAAATATGCACCCTTTTTATTGTATGATTTGTTGCCATTTTAAAGGTAACTTCAAAATGCCTCTCTCATAGAAGTCCTGGTCTCTAATTGCAAAATACTCTAGTAGTCGATTTTCACAATCCTCCCTAGATTCCAATTTTTTATCATTAAAGAAATTTTGCAATGCAAGAAAAAGATGATAATCGCTTGGTGCCAAGTCCGGATGCATTAAAACTTCCCAACCAAGCTCCCGAAGTTTCTGGCGAGTCATTGTAGATGTGTGTGGCCTAGCGTTGTCCTGGTGGAACACGACACCTCTCCTGTTGGCCAATTCTGACCGTTTCTGGTCAATCGCTATCTTCAAACAGTCCAGTTGTTGACAGTAGAGATCAGAATTTAGCGTTTGGCCATATGGAAGCAACTCATAATAAATAATCCCCTCCCAGTCCCATCAAATGCATAGCAAAACCTTCCTGGCCGTTTGAGGTGCTTCACCGCTCTTTGACCACGATCGTTTTCGCACAGGGTTATCGTATGTGATCCATTTCTCATCTCCAGTCACCATCCGTTTAAGAAATGGGTCTATCTCATTCCGTTTGGCCAAGGCTTCGCAGTTGGAAATTCGATCCATCATGTTTTTTTCTGTTAATTGGTGTGGCACCCAAACATCGAGCTTCTTTTTATATCCAGCTTTGTGTAAATGGTTTAAAACTGTTTTATGGTCGATTTTTAGCTCCTGGGCGATGTTACGACTGCTAACATGCCGGTCAACTTCGATCATTTCTCCGATTTTATAGACGTTTTCGACGACCGGCCTACCTGTGCGAGGTGCACCTTTAACATCAAAAATTCCTGAACGGAATCTACGAAACCAAAATTGCACATAATTGGCTGTTACAGTATCGGAACCATAAACACCATTCACAATTTTAGCCGCCTGGCTTGCATTTTCGCCTTTGTCAAAGAAAAACTGTAAAATGTACCGAATTTTCTCTTTGTTCACTTCCATTTTTAACACGCGGTAACTCACAACTGAATGCACCAAACAAAAAACAGCAAAAGAATTTTTTTTACTGCGAAATGTCACCTTTCCAACGAGCATAAACCTGAAATTGTTTGATCGATACTTTACGAGAAATCTATTAGTGCAGCCATCTACCGAAAAATAATGGATTTCTTTTTCCCCAAGCTAATATATATGTAGGGAAAGATGTTTTTCTTAAATGCAAACTACTAAGCTGTAAGGGGACGCTACATCCGTAAGGACCCATTTGTAGAGTACAATCTATCGCATTTAAATATAGATTTCACGCACATTTTAATTATTCATGAGACCTTTTCAAACATTGCAGCAAACATGCGTATGGTTTTCATAAAATTAACATTATTTTCGTACGAGTCATATACCGACTTCCTATGTTTTTTTCACCTCGATGTTTCCTCTGCTTCCTTTGTTGTCAAAATGGATTTGTTAATTCCGGTGCTGGGTATACTTCAGTTTTGATTCTTTGTCACAGTTAGAGGTTCAATTCAACAATTCTCTCGCTTCCCGATAGCAATAAAGCAAAAATGTGCATAAAAAGCAAAGTATATTTGAGCATATTGAGCGAAGCACGATATCGGGGCTCTGTCTATGATTTACCTTCTTCGACATCTGAGCATCTTTGCAATTTGCACACGGCAAACTTTTTAGACATGTCCGACGCTTTCGTAAAATTTCGTCACAATTGTAAATTCGTCTTTTTAAGCAAAAGAAAAGAAAAAACTTTGATTAGGTTATGCTGCTAGTGCTTGCGATGTTGTGAAAGATTTTTTTTTAGGTTAGTCCGGCCTAAAATGATGCAATTCATCAGACATTTGAACAAATACGTTTCTATAATCATTTTGGGGTCAGACCAACTGGCAAAATCAAATTCAAAATACTCGTCATACTTTTAGCAGTTGCTATAAATCTGGTGTGGGTACCACTCTTTCTTTTTTTACCGCTGATAAATCCCTCTCAGCAAACAGGTTCAAGGCCTGTAAATTCTTCAGTATATAGTTTGGACTTTACGTGATTACAAGAGGCCTTATAGTAGACGGGTTTATCATGCGACGGTTGCGTTAACTTGATTTGGGAAGCAAGATATTTCATTTTGGCCTAAAGTCCTTACCAAGATCGGAGCAATTCGATATATTCTGGTTTTTTCAAAGAAATTTCATATCCATAATTAATTGTCACTCGCAGAAAGACGACGGAGTCTTTCTGATTAAATAGTAGCTTCAGCGAATTTATCAAGTGTATATATATGTCAAGTGTATATATAAATTCTGAAATGGTCTTACCATGTTCCATGACTGTTTCTCCGGCCATCCGTAAGAAACATCTCCTGATCACAAAAACGAAGGCATCTGCTTAAAAGTTTCCAAAAACATTAGAAATTCTTGCGGTAAAATTGTTGTTGAATATCAGCCAACGCGACCAAACGACACGTTTATAACGCAACATAAACTGAGAGCACTTCTACAATATTCTTACATTTTTTACAGAATGTCTCCCATAATAATCTTCACCATGCAAGCACAAGCATTTTTCAACCTTTTTTTTTTTTATTCGACCTTAAATAATGAAAATGATGAAATGATTACCTTAAGCTTATTTTTAATATGAATCGAAAAATTTCTGTTCATTTTGTATTGTGTGTATCCTATACCTGATACGAACGGTCCTACCTTGAAAACGAAGCAATTTTCCAAAAAACGAAAGATTTAGAGCAATTCGTCGAGCATTTCACATTGTAAAGGAATTAGCATGAAAATGACAAGTACAGGGGACGTGACTTACGAGGCAAAATCCAAGATAAGCTGCAGAAAGTTGTTCATCAGCAATTGGAATTCTGGAATTCTCATTATGTGAGACAGAAATTTAAGACAATGCAGAAAATATTTTTGCGGTT